GCTTTAGGTTGGCGGCAGGCTCACCTCACGACGCATTCCGCAAGAAGTTTTTAATATGCCCCGCCGCGATTCGGGGTACTTGACATGTAGTCCGGCATTGCATATCAATAAGAACCGAACCAGAAGTTGATCAGGCAACCAGACTTGTTGATGAGTACGCGAGTGGGCGACAGACGTGTGCACACTCAGGAGAAACAACGACTCAAGGACAGTAGTCTCTGTCGCTGATGCACAACCAAGAGCGAGTACTTTGCTCCCCCAGTCAAAAGCGAGCAGCAGCACCTGTACCTTCAAACTGTAAACAAAACAACAACACACACACGCATAGGAAGCGTCAGCTTCCTATGCGTGTGTGTGTGTGTGTGTGTGTGCTTTTTTTTTTTCAAACAGGAGGGTGTTTACCAAATCGCTTCTAAACTCCCTTCCGCTGACCGCTTCTGCGCCAGTTCAAACCATTCATGGTGCTTTCAAGTCAAGGCGGTCGAGATTCCTGAATCAGAGTCCACTAGGTTATAAATGACTCCAGCTGGCGGAAAACTGATTTTGAGGATTGTGAAGAAAAAACAGTGCGTGCATTTGGAAAAAGATGAAAGAAACGCTTTTGAGAAACGAGTTTCAAAGCAAGGAGCTTTGGGAAAGCCCAATGTTTGTCACTGCAGCTCGCTCAAGCCAGCAGGATCCAACTCCGGGGCAGTGTCGGCGCTCGCATGAAAACGTGTCCGCAATCTTCATACTGGAACACCCGGAAACTGCGGTTTCCGAAAATGGTTCATGAGGGAGTTTTCGTAGATCGTTTTTGTACCTCCGCTACGCTCTCCGGAACGATGACGTCACTACTGCGCATGCGCGGCGCTAACCTTGCCCGCAGAGTCGCGGTTCGGTAGCGGGTTGCGGAGAACGTCGCGGGAGAGCGGAAATAATATAGGAAAACTCCCCATTGCGATCGTGCCGAGCGTTGGCGTCACAATCCTCCGCTGACGAAACCAACAGACAAAAGTTGGGGTCTAAGTGTAAAATCAAAATGACGTCACCAGTACTTCGCTAATTCCAAGCGTGACGCGCCATTCAAAAAGTTTGAAAACAAAAAGTGGACAAGTGGACAAGATCATTCATAGGGGCGGGCGTACTTTGTGCTGTCCATTATTTGGTCTGTTGTTGGTATTTGAAGATTGCATTTTGCTCGTGACCTGTTTTCTGTTCTGTGTTCGGACGCTTAGGTCCAAGTTTTCAATCCGTTCAGCTTTACAATGAAACCTGACGATCCCTAGTTTCGTAAATCGTTCCGGCGATTTTTTTTTTCCAAGGTTGCAAAATATATTTGGGTTAATAAGCACAAGAAAGTGGCAAATCTAGTTGAGGTAGAGTAGCGAATACTCAGACTAAATGTATTTGCAAGATACCAAAATACTACCAAAAGTATTTGAAATACAGTATCTGGAGTAAGAGTATTTTGATAGGCACTACTCTGAATTGAACACACGTTAAAACCCGAAAAGGACTGAGTCAACCCGAAGCAGAACTGAAAAGATATCCGGATGTTGAAAATACTGAAAACCTTTCTCTCAAAAAATACAATTAAAAAAAAAGATTGCACGAAAATTAAGTTGAACATAGTGCCAGTACGCCCTATATATATTTTTGTCAAGAAAATTGCATTTCAGATATACGTCACGCGTTCCCGCTAGCCTCTTCGCGCGATTCGTTGTGTCAAAAACTATATATATCATATATGTCGTCAGAAACGAAATCTTGTCTGCGGCAAATCCAAAGTCTGATTAGTCAAATTGCGAGGCGACATTTTTATCCTTTACCGTTAGAAACTCCAAGTAATACAAATAAAATTGTGCGAACCAATTGTTTTCACGCGCTGGGCTAGACTGTGACTTGGACGTGGTCGATACACCGTCTCGATGCGTGATTTGCTCGCTTTTCCGAAAACGAAGACGTGCTTCATGGTGATGCGCGTGGTGGTCGAAAGACTGCACGCAGGGCGGTGCGTTTGTAGGCACTAGGGTGCCTTCACGTGCGCTTTGCTTAGGGCGGAGACATCTGAGACATCTGGCCATTTTGTTCCCACTTTTACATTTATTTTTTGTTCAGAAGCGCGTGAAAGAGCGTGTCCCTGCACGCGTCTGTGGCGCTGAGTGTGCTATGGCGACATTTTGTTTTCGTCGATTTCTTTGTATTTTCCCCGTGAGCGCGTGCTGTCGGCATCGGGTACTACAAAGGGTGGCATCACTCTAAACAGAAGGTCATTGAGGCACCCTAGTAGGCACTGCTTCTTGCGCAGAGGGTGCGGTGACCCCAGAGCGCCGAGCTCTGATTGGAAGGATTAGTGGGTAGACGCAAAGGCTGGCTGCCTCTGCCTCCGCTCACTATCTCCCTCCCATCAGAGCGAGGAAGATCGCCGTCTGCACCTCGCGCAGAGGGAGCAGTGGCGTCAGAGTTAGACTTTCGGGGGCCGAACAACGGCGCCGTCTCTGCTAGTCCAGTCCTGAGCAATGGCTGTCTTACCTTTTCTGCGGCTTCCAAAAGCCCACCAGTTTTTTAATGAAGCACGAGGACTTGCTTTGAGAATCTGAAGACATTGGAATGCTCATAGACAAGGAAAAGGCACCTTCCCACACTATTTAATCTGGAATGTTAAAGGACGAGCGTACTGTTTACAAACAAGTGGTATACGTCTGGTGGCATGGCGCACGTGCAGGGACCAAGTTTTTAGAACGGTGAAGCTGTTGCACCTGTTCAGTGCTCTCGTTTATGAATGCAGCTTAGATTGAGACTCAAGTTACCCAAGACGAGGAAAAATAAAACTGGAATAAAAACACGGTCTTCTATAGGTTGATACATTAAAGGGGTACTTAGTAAACTACTAATTTCTTCATCGTGCCCGACGTCGTCATATATATCTTGACATATACATAATAAGAGCAACCTGAACCGATCCACCGGAACACTGCCGAGCAGTTACATACACGGGCTGCGATAGGTCACACAGAAAAACGGAATAGAGCGAAAACAATACTGACAGAAAGAAGATAACGACAGATTGCGACCTCAGGGCCCATATACAGTCCCCCGTGAGCAAGGAGCCGAGCCGGATCCGAAATGTCGGGTACGATGAAGAATTTGGTTAGAGTTTACTAAGTACCCCTTTCATACTGCTTATTCAGCCAGGCGGTGTTCCGCCAAAATATTTACATTTAAGGGTCATATACTGCTGTACAAGAGTTTAGACTTTATGCTTTGACTTTGCTGTTGTATGTAGTCCAAACAAAGCCCGAAGGTATCACAGGCTGCCATTCAAAAGCTTCCGACAGGTTCTTTTTTCTTTTCTTATGAAATAAAAAACTTAACAAAATGTACGCACCTTTTGAAAATCTTTGACTGGAAGATTTTCTTTACCCTAGATTCTCTCGATTATCACTTAGCAGCGGTAACGGTTTTTCACCGTAAGAAAACTGCAGAAGACGGTTCATCGGTCATCTCAACCTTTAATGTAAACTTTATAAAACAGTATCTGTACATACACACTTCGCACAGACTTGCTGGCAACGAGACTAAAAACAAAAGACCAAGAAAAAAAGAAGACGTGCCTGCCGCACGCGAACAGTCGTCCAACCGTCTCAGTATAGCAGATGTATTTACAAAGAAGCTAAATTACAAGGCTAGCTGAACCCACTTACCATTCTTAGGGGGCCAATAGATGACAGCGTAACAATAGTACAGTAATAGTGAAAGTCTAACTACAGCGTTGGGGCAGTTTCCACCGCGCGAGTTACCTACACGAAACTTGCCTCGCCAGTCGTCTGCTCCGTACATTTCTACGAGATTGACGTCACGAGACTCGAAGAATCACGTGACCAGGTCACGTGTCGTCGATTGCAAGGAAATCGTCGTAGCCTGCCTGCGCAGGAACAGGGACCTACGAGCGAGCCTATTCCCTTGCCTCCTGTCTGCCTTTTTTTGGTTATATGGTTCAAGGAGTCTAATAAATAGACACGGATGTGGGTTTGTTTTATACAGATACAATTATGTATTGAATACAAGGAGACGTACATCAGTATATAGTCTTGAGAAAGCCGCCTCGTTACTTTAACGGTTATTACTGTTTGTTTAGGTGTGAGGTAAAAGAGGATGCTGGGATTCCGGAATTAACAAATCGTGTTGTTTGGCACACAATCGTTTTGTATTTGCAAGGGCCCCGCAACAGTAGGCGATATTCGTGTTTCCAGTGCTCGCGCATGAGTTGTTTGGGAACAGATGGAGATAACGCGGATCTACGGCAGGGTCACCATGGCCGTCGAGATTCTACACACAAATTTTACGTGGGCGTGCATTTTATTTTTAATTTTCGATTTTATTTAATGCCCCACTTGAGCGGAAAAGAAAAATGTATCGCGTTTGCTCACGAACCGCAAGCTCTGTGCACTGATGATCTTGAAATACTCATAGGTAGTACCAGGTGACTAAATCGTTCGTAATAGCAAAATAATGTAGCTAGACTCAATCCTTTTTGACGCCTTCTAAATTGTATAATTATTTTCATTCACTTTTCCTGGTAATATTCAGCATTTTCTGTATGTTCTTAAATAAATGCTTTACTTCAAGTAACGCTGCAAAACTATACTCACTTAGATTTTTGCGAAAGGGCTTTAAAGTGGACCGCAAACACCAAGTACTCCATGTAAAACTACAGTATAAACTGATTTTGTTTTTGATAATTGTTTTATTAAGCTTTATTAAACAGACAGAGGCGGACTTCCCAATAGGCAGAATAGGCGCCTCCTGGGGCCTAAGAACTTTTGGGTGACCAATTTGTGTCTGCCCCAAAAATAATTGGCTCTTTTTTTTTTTTTTTTTTTTTAATCCAGCTGAGAATTTAGCTATATTGGGGATACTAGCTCCAAATCCAGCTACTTTTAAAAGTTTTAATTCAAAACTTAGCTTCCCATGGTCACTGACCATAGGGAGCGGGAGTTTGGGAGGGGGCAGGGAGGGGGGGGGGGGGGGGGGGACTGTAAAGGTTGTTCATGGCGGCAAAATGTCGTCCACCTCTATGAACAGGGCAACATATGTTTGCAGTTGTTCGCGAATTTTTCCAGGTGTGTTGATTTGTCCCCTTAGCGCCACGTCAAGCCGTCCACAAGGGCTTCCAGTAGCCTGCTAAGACGTGTAAAAGTTTCCGACGACGGAAGCGTTTCACCGAAATGGCAAAGCGGTGTTCATATTGTATACGTTTCGACTCATAAAATCTCATCTTCACCTAAATGCCACGCGTGAAACCAGACTGTGTAGTCTTGTGACTCGGTGCAGTTCCTCAGGCCTCGGCTGAACGGCTGCTTGTATTCTGGGGACAGTACGGCACGTGACATAGTTCACCGCCGTGTGTGTGAGTCCGCACTTAGAGCGGACTCAGACACGCGAAGCAGTTCATGCTGAAGTATGGTGATCATCTCAGTGTCTGTGATCGATGAGCGGTTATGGTTCTACTCCTGATATGGACTAAAGGTGTTCAGGTACTGAGCCTTGATTTCACCTCTGCCGCTGTCCTGAACTTAAGATTTGATCCTCCACTTCTTCGCAGACATGGATTTAGCGAGGGAAGGTGAAGCGCACACGTGGCATTCTGTACGTGCACTTCTTACTTCGCCGCTGATGCTATGATTTGTTTTGGCGTTTTGATAGATGGAAACAAAAAATTGCGCGCAGATTACAATGAGAACAAAAAGTAGCCGTTCGGAATTACTACCCCACGACGAACTCGTGTGCTGTTCAAGGCAACGGATTGTGGGCATATACTCTCCGCGACATCATCATTTGAGTGTCTCTCAGAACGTTTTGCTAGTCGCCGTGTTTGCGCACGAACCTTGAATAGTGACTACCAGGCAGGATGTACAGCTTACATGGCTTACACGCTAACATTGCACAGATGGTGTTCATGTACGGGATTTCAAACAGTCACGTGGTACAATGGGCATCAAATGCACACACGCACACACATTCTACGGGACGTTTCACTGGCACTACGTGTACGACATGTATGTTTTTTTTTTTTTTTTTTTTTTTTAGCGGGCATTGTCTACAGGTTGTAGAAACTGCGACGTCCGCGTGTCAAGTGGTGTCCGCGTGTCAGCTGCTGGAATACGCGGAGCCTCAAAAATCGCGTGACTATTCTCAGCGCTAAAGTTTAGGAGGTTGCGGCGGCTGTCTTCCTCGCGTGGTCTTCGTGTACGGGAATAAATTGTTCCATCGCAATCGCTCGGTAAGGTGAGCTTGAATGAGTGACGCTTTGATCCCATGGGGATTATATAACAATCGTGTATTATATGTCCTCTGGGGGCAATTTCGATCAAATGAGATGCTGCGGCGCATAACCGCTAGGCTGTCATATATTTTTCCGGAAGCCGCTTGGCAGTAGATTCATCCGGCAATAGTCGGGAAGACACCGGTGCGCATGCGTTTTTCTAGAGTGCATCGATTACCTGAAAAGTACGTATTCTTAAAATTATGTATCAATACTTTTTTTTTTGTGATCTCGTTAATTATGGTGGGAAAGCACGAAAGGGTGTTGTTTTCGTTTTGTTCATGAAGTATGCAGTTCAGAAAAATAAAGTCCTTAAAGTGTATCTGTCTCGTTCTGTAAATTGAGCGAAGCGGGTGTCTCGCCTTAATAAGCAAAGTCACGATACCAAGCTGTTATTGGGAGTACATTTGCCGCCTCTTACAAATCCGGTTTGTGATCAACGCGGTGTCTTTACTGTAGCAGTCCCTTCGTCATTCGTTCCTATCAATAAAATGTGATGTACTTGACATCGTTTACAGAATCCATGTCTTTATAATATTAATCTTTCGTCGAGAGCGAGAGTTCCGGCTTTGCACGACCTTCCAATCTGTAGTGTCAAGCGAGTCCCTGCCCTTCGTGAATCCCCTATATCTAATTTCAAAGTGATAAGATGGCGAGAAATTAACACTCGCACAAGTGACTGGCGCGATTGTTTGCACCTGGAAAGGGACCAGTGTCGGCCTTAATCGAGATGTGTAATATCTCTCTTATACTTGTTCATGTTTCTTTTTCCATCCTTACATAGCGTCCCACGTAGTTCTCAATATTAAATACCCTAGCATCGTCGAGCGGTATGCCAAATGATGCAGGTGGTTGACTGAACGTATGCAAGGTCGCAGCATTCGTACGTCACCGTGGTCTCAGTCAATCCCGGTTTATACTTGATCCGTAAGGGTATGGTCAATTTATTTGAACCCACTCCCTGACGTCATCGTGGAATTCAGCCAATCCTTATTCAAATTTGGCAATGTTGCGTGACGTAGCGGCCTTCTACCGTGAGGACCCGTGTCATCTCTAAAGGCGGCGACGGCGTCTAAGCTTCGGCGAGTGCCAGAATGTAATACTCGTGGAACAAAAAAAGCGTCGAATTGGTCGCGGAACCGCGTTGCACTTTCTCGAGTACGACGGCCTGTTCCCAGCACCATTGGTTGACGGGGTTGGACAAGATCGGGGACATCGCCAAAGAATTGGATACTCAAATCTTGCAACCCCGTTTTCGTATCGGAGCACCATACTTCAGTTGACAGGGGAGGAGAGCGTGACATTTGAAAGGCGCGCTACTAGAGTAGTAGTAGTAGTAGTACATTGATTCTTGAGCTTTCGTCGCTCCCTCCTGTATCCTTATTAGTTCGTAGCCTTTCCTTCTAAAGCGTCCGCGAGTGTTGACGCAGCGGCTATTATATATAGAGTCATTCCTCGTAGCAAGTATAGGACAGTACGCTAGAAAGAAAGAGAGAGAGAGAGAAACGCGCTTTGTACAGGCGAGGAAATTAGTGAAAAGTTACTCTCAGAGAACAGTGAGCGTAGTCGATGTGAGAAGAAATGAAACATCCTGCGTCGAAACAGTACGAGCGAAGTGTACGAAATTGCTCTAAGCAAATAAAATTACTAAACAATCGCATTAAAAAAAAATCACACAGTCGAAATAAACTCTTGTATGCTTGAGTTGCTTCATGCACCGGGTGAACTAGAGACGCAAAAACGATCCTCCTACAAAACAAGAGAAAAAACAAACACTCTTTTCTTGACTCGTCAGAGTGTCATAAATATTGACAGAATATCACAGAAATCAGGTGTGCAGCGACGTAACAATAAAAAAGCTCTGCATAATGTACTACGTAACGTCGACTCCGGCGCTTCTGCGCAGCAACCAAAATTTCGAGAAGTGAAACAAAATAGGATCGGACGCGACATTTTAAACACATCGGTTGCCAAATAACTGGAATGTTTTCTTTAATCCATATTTTAGCTCGGTTTCAAAATCTTCGCTTTCTTTGTGACAACAAAATCAAATTGACCGGAGAAAACAAGAAGACTGATGTACCTCCATGACGCGCTCAGAGCACAAAGCCTCTACACAACAACTGGCTCCTTCATTGGAAATGCCTATTTGAAATGCATCGATGCCCTAATATATAATTACCGTCCAAAATTAACTCTGATAAAGGAAACTCGGTGTCTCCGGGCAAGACAAAATAATCAAACATAAAATAAAAAAATAAAAACACGAAATTTTGTAAGTCGTTTCCCCGAAGGCTAAATACGCATGACATATAGGAACGCATCATGACTGTCTGAAAACAGATCTTGGATCGCCGGTACGAGAGTAGCAGGAACAAACACTGAATGACATCAGAGGAGCCACGAGCACAGATCTTCAAGGGGTCTTCGCTAAACGGAGTGCAGAAAGAAAAAAAAAAATTCACAGTTTTGGGGACTAGTCATTTAGGACACCACACACGCACACGGACACAAACAAACAGGCACGCACATTCAAATCGACGCCAACGCAGTTGGGGAAAAGGACAGGTGGTTCCAGAGGGTTTCGAAGCAGCGGCACTGCGGGGGGAGTCCATCAGAGGTTGAGTTCGAAAGCGACGGCCATGTTGTTGGGCTGCGAGGAGTTGGGGTCTGCTACCGCGGGGTCGTCCGCTTTGTACACTGCTGAGTTGAGCTCGAGGCCTGGCGGTCCTCCGGGTTTGCCTTCTCTGTCGCACGCTCTCTTCGCCTCTTCGGTAACCTGGTCCGTGATGTCGTCCACCATGTCGTTCTTGCCGACCTTTTCACTCAGTTTCATTGCACTGTTGAGGTCTCCCTCGCTCTTGGTTAGGCCGCGATGTCGTAGTGGTGAATCTCCGCCGCCTCCTCGGTGATGTTGCCCTGGCACGGCAAATCCCTGTCCAGAATGTCCTGGAGACGTGGCCGAAAAAGAGGAGGAAGAGGCGAAGAAGACGGCGAGCATGACCCGTCTCGAACTCGCAGAGTGAATCGTTTTTATTATTTGCAATTTGCGCATACGGACTGACTTTGTTAGCATCTTATCACTGATCTCAATATTACTTCTACTAGGTCGCGTTTCGTCGGTGGCATTGGCCATACCGCTAGAGCCTTTCACTCGCCTTCGGTAGTGGTAAGATGGCGGCTTTGCGACTGCATCGCAGTAACGGCACTGGACGCCAGAAACGCGATCTAGAGAATATAATTCAACTCAGTGATTCCGATGCGCGTTAATGAATTTCTATTGCACTGTTAGCGCAAACGCGCGATCGTTTTTGTTTTGTTTCTGGTTTGGTAGTAACTTAGAGGGGAGTTGAGCAAGGTGCCACTTGCACAAAACTGGTTAGTTTTGTGCATAGGAAAGTAAAGCTATGTTGGAATGTTCCTATGTGCGACGTCAACGTCTAAAGGCTGGGCTCCAGGGAGGAAAAATGCGGCGAACAGCCGACGGACTTCGACTGGTGGCATGTTCGCTTTGCGCGCAGAGCGAGAGCAACTGTGCTGACACTACGCGCAGAGAAAACGCCAGCGGGCGAAATTCGTGGCTTGTTCGCAGCATATCCGCTTCGTAAGTCCAGTTTTAAAAACCTTTCCTTGAATTGAGTTCTCACTGTCAACCATCTCGCATTCGTGCTCACAGTGCGGCGACATGTATTACATTCTGACGTGCACACGCAATGAGGTCTGCCGACCGTTATCAAGAAATAAAGCATGCGATGGCGAAATGAAGGATGATGGCAAGGCGCTATGAACTGAAGGTCGGTAGGGACCAGTGCGTGTGCAAACGCCATTGGTTCTAGCTGGCTGGAAGGGATACGTCGCAGTTCAGCCGCAGCCAAGTGGAAGAAAAAGAATGCTGCCATGACTACGTATGGCTCGTCTCGCAATCTCTCACCCCTGTCGCACGGGCACCTTAAAAGGCCTCTGAAGTCTGAGAAACTTTACTTTAAGCGTGATTATAGTAGTACTACATACCACACCTTAAAATGGCATTCACGGCAAACCGCATTTATATAGACTATAACGAACACCGACAGCTCTCAAGATACACCTTGCTTAATGTGCGTGCACTGAACACAAACACACACACAAAAAAGAGTTTTTCCACGTCCATATTTACTTTTATGATATATGTGGTTGCATTTCTCTGCGACATACGACGGTGGTGAAGTCACATCACACTTTCTGCCGAAACCGATGTCGAAATTGAGGATGAACTTAAACGAAATGGTACCTCAAATTTGCATGGCCGCTTCATGTTAGATCGATCTGCAGAGATGTGAAAGCACCCATTTCAGGTTAGGCAGTGCGTCACCAGCGTTTAAGGTGTAAATCACTCAGCTTTGTGCGGAGGTTTACCCCAATTATAATAAATATTGTTAATGCCATTAGCAACTTAAAAGTGGTTACACCGTTAATTCCTTTAAATCATACCGTTATTTCTTCATGTTCACCCAAAAGTTACAGTTGAAAATATAAATTTGCAAGAGAAATTAGAAAGGAGTAAGGAATCTCGAAGGCCTTTGGCATATATGTAACTTGAATTGCCCGTGAAACAGGGTGCGCTTGCGGAGAAATTTGAAGGTATATTGCCAGGTCGTTGGCACTAATTTTTACATAGTTACGACATCATGGTTACGGCAGACGAATTCTGGACATGTAAGTCTGCGCAAAGGACGTATCAAAGTTATTCCAATTTGTAAGAGACAAGAGGAGAATTTACTCCGCTGCGACGAAAAGCTCGCAACCCTTCAGCCGAACCGCTAAGCACTGTCCAGTCCAAATGAAAGACACCATAGCAAGAAAGTAAGGAAGAGACTAACAAAAAAAACAAAAAACGTACGTGCAGCCAAATCCTCTTCTGTCCTTGTGAAAAACAGGCGAAAACAGACGGGAAGGAAAGGAAAAAAAAAAAGAGCACCAGACAGCAAGACGCAAGCGGGTGGCGGCAAAACGGTTTCTGTCGAGGATTGGCACAGTATGGTTACTGGGCGAGCACGGCCACCCCGACTCGTCAAACCAAGGGCAAAAGGACTCGCGCGCTCAGGACGGTGTCGCGCCACATGACACGACGCGATACGACAAGACGGGACAGCCGACGGAGTGCGCGTGGTCGCAGTGATGGCCCCAAGGGTTACTTTAAGACGCGCATTGCGTCTGTGCACGAGTCAAGGCAGGTTGTTCGGGGATCGATTCAACACAGAGAAATCGTTGGAGTACGTATCCTACACTCTTCTGCATCAACCCGAGACCTCGTGAAGCCACGCCAGGCTACGGCTAGCGAAAACCCGTAAGGAACTACTGCTCAATGGATGGAGCTCGGAGTAAAGTCGGTTTCTCCGTATGAGTTCCACTATCTTCGTTCACCTAGCCGACATCCATAGCTACAAGACCGCAGCGGACGAGCGGTCCCCCCTTCCCAGATTGGGCGCCATCTCTGAGCACGCGTCCGCGGGGCTGCGGCGGGTCGTCCGCCTGTCCCATGGCGTCGGTGTCGACGCGGCGCGGCGCCCGCGTCCCCGCGCGGAGGAGCGTGCAGCATAGAGCAGGCGAGAGGGGGTTTGGGCCTTACTCAATCGCACACTGCCGCCAGCCGTCAGCGTCATAGACGCCCAGATGTCGCACCAAACCCCCGAGCGCTGCTGCGCGTCCCAAGTCGGCTCCTGTGGGACACGTACCTGGGACAGAGACGTTCCCTTGGCGTTACGCGAGAGCCGCGAGGGCGACGGCCTTTCCAGCGGACATCGCAGCGGCAGCGTCGCGTAGGGAGCCGGGTACTGCGGGAGGCAGGACGACGACGAAGGGCCCAGCAGGGGCCGGGCCCCTCCGCGGTCGACGCCGTCCGTGTGGCGCGGGGTGCGCGGCTGGGGGGGCCCGAACCGCTGGTCCACGTCCACGTAGCGCTGGCCCGAGGGCCGGCCCAGGCTTCCGGGCCCGCTCATGCAGGTGCCGGTCTTGAGCGGCTTTAGCGGCGGCACTGTGCGGTCGTGGGGAACCCCGCAAGCGTCGGTGTAGTACATAGACACACTTATATTGCTGAGGCTGTAGTATACATTGACTTTATGTGCACACAACAAGAGTGTTTGCTGTGGACGAATAATTGCCGCAGCGGCAATAGCTGCCTCTTTGTCTTGATTCCTGTCTCAAATTTGAAAGGCTCAGTGCCGTCCTGCAACTTAAGATAGAGGATGAGTTGTTGAGCACGCCTTTGAAACCAAAACGCTGTCCCGATGACGCGTTTACGCTTGGACCTTTAAATAACCTGAGATATGGATGATTAGCATACAATCTTAATTCATGAAAACACAGCCGGGACCCCGCAACAGCGCAAGGCATTTTTCTTGACTTCGTACTTGAAGGGGGCCTTCTGGACAACATTTAGTGCATTTCACTTTATCCTCTGACTCCTCATATCCAATTCCTTTCGCTAGAGGCTCATGAGTCAATGGAGGTGCAGAATTAGAAACATACTTTCAATATCATCGAAACAAATGACTGTACCGTTCACAGGTTGTCCTCAGCGAGTTTAGCGCAAAGAAAGCCTGCACACTCACCGGCCACGTTCTGGTATTTCCGGCGTTCGTGGCTGACAAAGAGACAGGCCCCGGCGATGACGAGGACCACGATGGTGAGCGACGCGGCCGCCGGTGCCACCACGGACAACCGGAAGTAGACCGGCAGCTCGCGACTCTGACTCCCTTGCGGAGCCGGCATGGACGCGTCCGACAATGCTACGAAAGAAAAAAAAAAAAAGAAAAATAACGGACGTTGTTGATTTTATTGCACGAGCAGAGCCGAAACTATACTCTATTTCACCTTATGATGTACCGCAGGAAAGGCTACAAACGGAAGCTCCTTGCTCTAGGGCACATCTCGGCGGCACAAGTTCTCGCGCTTCTAGCCTTCGCTGCGGTACAACATAAGGTGAAATGAAGTGTAGAGATGCATTCCCACGACGTAAGGGCTACAAAGTTACTTTCCAGAGTGGTATAAAGCATTCCAATACTCGCCCCTGCGTGCTGCCAACTTTGTCTGCTGGGCTGTGGAACGCATTCCGAGCATGCGCAATACCTCTCTTCTGCGGAATACTAAACGCGCGACTCGGCATTTGTCTCCTTGGTGATAAGCACTGGAAAGGTGAATTTGAGGATATTCCTAAAGTAATTGCGTCTGAAACAGAAGTAGCCTAAAAGTCATCCAGGCAAGCTGAACCCGGGCAAGTTCACGCTCTCCACAAAAAAGAAAAGAAAAGAAGAAAAAAAAAAAAGGTAATAATAAGGAAAGAGGGAACCAAGAACGAAAACGCCAACTTAAGGTGCACGTTAAAAACAACAACAAACTTACACACAAAAAAAAATATATATATATCATATATATATATATATATACGGGGTGTTTTTTTTTTATCCTTACACATTTGTTTAAAAAAAAAAAAAAAAAAAACGTGAAAGCTACACTAATGCGGTTTGTGCAGGTGGGTTGTACGGCCAGGCGGACATTATGTGGGTGGCTAATCTTTGCGATAAGTCGGCTAATTAATGGAAATTCGTTAATTAACTTTATAATTACTGAAAATAAACATATGGTTTCAATTCGAAAGTTGCTGAGCATCATCGAAAACCCCTAAATCAACTATTTTTAGCAGGATATAACGCCTGCACGAACCGCATTAGTGTAGCTTTGACGTTGTTTCTAAACAGATGTAAGAATAAAAAAAAAAAAAAAAGAAAAGCCCTGTATATATATATATATATATATATATATATATATATATATATATATATATATATATATATATATATATATATATATACACTGGCTGCCTGCCTTCATTTAGGTATGAAATTGAATAAATATTGGGTTTCAGAAACTGAGCCCAATAAAAATCGTGTCTTTAGGACACCATGGGCCATCAAATGGCCCATCAAATGGCCCATTTGGATGGTTTCACAAAATATCAAAAGGTTTTGGTAAGATTTCCAGCAGTCTTCAGTGATGCAGAGTTAGATGAACGTAAAAAGGAAATCTAAAAGGAGAGTAGTAAATTAGTGTCTCGAAAGGGTTCCCAGATAATTCGCGTGCGCACGCATCCAGTTACGTTCATGGTCATTTCCGTTGGACGGGTAATAGGATCGAAGACGAAGGGACTGCTGAAATAGCGTGCGAGATCGCTACAGGAATAGTGATGCACACCTCCTCCTTCGGTGAGCACGGTGATGATCTCGCTCGGAGCGCTGGTGGAGCCCTCTCCCGCGGCCTGCAGGTAGATCTGGTAGCGGGTGGCCTCCCGCAGGCCGGTCAGGCTGTACTTGGAGTTGTCGGCCTGGGGCACCGTCAGCTCCCGCCACGGACCCGTCTCCTCGCGGTACGACAGGATGTAGTCTGCGGTGTGCAAGCGGTCCGCGAACGTCAGTGGCGGTCTCACAAAGCAGAAAGCTTTAAAGCCGGGGTCAAACTGCTCATACATCGTACCAAAGACAGTTTGCAGACACGATCGAGCCGCCGCAACATCCGCGGTTCGAATGCCGCGTGCCAAGTTTTCTCCTTAAACCCATTGCCATGCGGCATTGGAAGCACGGACCTCGCCGTGACTCGGGTTCGAATTTGTATGCAGACTGTCTTTTATATGATGTATATAGTGTAACACCGGCTTTAGGGAAGCGTCCCTGTGCGAACGGTCAGACGCCGCTCTGATACGCTGAGAAGAATGTTTCTCTAGAGAGCTCGTAATGGATGTGTGTATATGCGTGTGTGTGTGTGAGAGAGAGAAAGAGAAAGTTGATTTATTGTAGAGACAAGGAGGTTAACCGAACTGAATTATTCTAGTTTGCTATTCTTGTAAATGGATGCGTTTCGCTGACACTTCCACCACAAGTCCTCTAAAACCCGACTGCAAATTCCCACAGTTCCACTTTAGTGGGTTCCCTAGAACTCGCGAGTTCAACTCTGGAGACAAAAACCTTATTAAAGGCACAAGAAAAAGGAAAAAAAAAAGTTGACACTTTTAAGAAGAACCAGAAGCAAAATCGTTGGAAGGAAACATAACGTATTTGATAATGATGATTAGAAGGCTAAAGAGAAAGAGGAGGAGAAAAATGATGACGAATTTATTGATACAAAAGCTACTTAAACTGCACTGGGTCAAGATAGCACATCTGAGAGAGAAACTACTTACGAGTCACTGGTGGTCCTGGAGGCTGCTGCCAGTGCACTACGATCGAGAATCGCTCGTGTGATTCGAGCCACAACCGCGGTGGTAATGGGGGCTCTGCAAGATACAAAAAAGAAAACATCTCTTCGTTGCCTGCTGTGAAACCTTGCGTGAAACAAACCAAACCACTAAACGTCCAAACATTTTCATCAACACTTTAAAACTCGTGTGGCGGCCAAGCTCGATGTGCGCGCTTAGCGTAGATGTGTACTATACTGCACATGCTTAATGACACGTGCACGGGCCAACCACATGTGATAAAATTGAACAGCCTATTATGTCCACACATAGTCTGACATCCAAACATTAAGTGCAGGAAAATTGTTATCATTTATTTTGCCTTTCTTGGTATTGATCAGTGACTTATTGGCCACCACAGTATGAGGCTCGAGCTAGACGCTTCTATAATCAATAAACCACACGTCTTAGCCTTCCGCACCCTGGAATAAGTATATTGAGTCGTTCATATATGTACCCGAATCAGCGGTGCGGGCTACGATGTCTTGGGAGCCCGGACCGGAGCCGGCGGCGTTGAAGGCCTTGACGACGATGGCGTACTCTGTGGCCCTCTTGAGACCCGCCAGCAGGTGCTCTTCCTCGGCCTGGTCGGTCATGGGCGCTGACTGGTAACTGTATGGGTCCTCGGAGCCCTTGGGCCGGTACCCGATGTAGAAGCCGAGCAGCTGGCCGTTCCACTGCTCTTTCGGTGGAGGCTGCAGGTAATGCGTCTACTGTAGTAGCTTGAGGGTTAGCGAAGAACCCACGTTTTCTTTGACTTGCTGTACCACATCGTCGTTAGATCACACTAATCAAAAATAACAATTTTCTTTCCATGAGATTCAAATTTGGACGTCGGACAAGAAGAACGAACGTTGACCTCGACAGTATGTCAGTAAAGCATATATGCTAAAAAATGTTTGCACGCTTTCCAAAAACGAAACTCGTGACCTAGCGCATTCCCATTAGGTAGAGAGGAAGAAGATCCAAAACATTTGACGCAAAAGAAACCAGTGACGTTACGGACCAGATCGGCGACGAAATGCAAAAGAATAATTCGCGAAATTGTCGTCTATGAATTCGTGGAAATAGTTCATGTTCCGTCCCACCGGTGTCGATAAGAATACCGGCACGAGGATAAAAATAATGCTAGCATTGTTCCCGTGTCGCAACTACGAGTTTCATCTTTCGGGTAGGAAATTTTATACGTTGCTAGTTGCCGTTGGTGGAAATGGCGAAGACCGTACCTTCCATTTTATTCGAAGACTCGACGGTCCCCTGGGCTCGGCAGCGACGTCGGTGGGAACTCCGCCGGGCTCTGAGATAAAGGAGGGCGTTCGGTTAGTTTGAGTGTGTGCCTCGATGCGTCGTATAGGGTAGTTGTCCCAAGCGGAACTGCTACTATAGACTGTTGCAAGTCAAGAACAGCAGGACAAGCTCTTCCAATAAAGGCATCTACTCTTTCCACTTTGACGGCGCAAACGCTGAAGGGGAGGCGAGTATGAGAAGAGGAAACCGCGGATCATGGAGTCCAGAGAGCTTTGTGGGAGGGGCATCTGTTCAGTTTCTTGAGTTGCAACGGACATTAAGGTCCGTGGTTTCGAACCTTCCTCTTTCGTCTGGAACTTCTGGCTTTCGGAAGGGGACCCCCGGCCCACGGTGTTCTCGGCCAGTGCGCGCACGATGTACGATGTCCCCGGCTGGAGGTCGCGTAGCAGCGTCGACGTCTGGGGAGCCGTCACGCTCGCTTCTTCGAGCCTGTGGGCGGCCCCTGGAAGGAGAAGACGCGTCCCCTCTGAGGATGCCGTCCGCGCGCATCCAATTCTCTGCCAATGAAGAGTGCGCATATTATTTCGGTGCATCTCTTTCTCGTAGCTGTACTCCGTTTCACCTTACGATGAACCGCAACGGAGGTTACGAGTCACGTTAGCCAATCCAGCGTTCCACGCGTGCCACGCGGCTTCTAGCTTTGTGCGTCGCTCCGCCCAACCGGAAGGACACGTGGCAGGCTCCGAACTGTGGATTGGCTCCGGTGGTTGAGTCCGTTTCGGTGCATCGGAAGGTGAATCGGAGCATGCCTGTGTCTCGAGGATACCTCATGCACTGGCGTCGGTCGGAAGTCTGGAACGCTGCAAATTCGAACTCCGAAATATTTATTTTTTTATGGTTGAGGAAATATCGTACATTAAGAATTGTGGACGCGCGCACGCGTACGCGTGTGAAAAGCCTAAATGGTCGTCTCGCCGCACAGGACCTATACACCATGTGTGAACAGCCCATGATATCTATGAAGTCGTTCTTTTCAATATGCATCGTTTCAGAATGAGGTAAGAGCTACTGACAGATCACAAAAGATCGGAAATGGCAAATTACGACGGGCATGACCCCCTGTCGAATGATGCTTGATTTTTCTTTCCGTCACGCCGTCACGCTGTAACGCCATAGATGTCGAGGTGACGATCGGGTCTGACCACAGCTTTGATGTCGACAAACGACAAACACCACTGGAACACACAGCAAACGAACCTTGTAGGTCCTATCTTATGCGATCGACAGTCGCCAGCTTCCCGCGTAAGAACACTGAAAGCGTATCTCGGAAGAAGACTTGACAGGGCGTGCACGTGTTCTGCTGTCTTCAGCGACCTCGTCACGGGGTATACGTCGCTCGCTCACCGTGGTCCTTCCAGTACTGCACGATGTATTTGGAGACGGGGCTGTTGCCGCTGTACGGGGCGTTCCAGCGCACGTTCGCTGACCGACTCCAGGACTGGTCCACCTTCACGTCCAGCGGAGACGCAGGAACTTCTGCAGGAAGAAAGGGAGTGCACTGCCACATTCAGAATGCGGAAAAGCTATACGACAGTCCCATCAAAGCCGCCTTGCCTCGGTGGATACAACGAGGCAATTAACGCGCCAGCCTACGGATTCCCGGCAAGTGGCGGGTTCAAGTCCCGGCCCAGGTGCCCACAATCTAACGGAGGCTCATTGTGCAGAAGGCACTGTACGACCGAGTTTTGGGTTCCACGCCACAAGACCCACAGGTAACCTAAATGAATCCTCAGTCTTCTCTTGGGGCGTACCAGATGCTCTTCGTTGGTTCGGTACGTCCGAGCATTTCTCAGCAGGGGCTTGGCGCGCTGAATCGGTCTTTGTAAGGTAAAATGTGCGAATGATACCGCCCTCGCTGGAATGTGCTCTCGTCCAGGCAAGTGGACTTTTACTTCGTGGGAACGTTTGTCTTAAACTTCAGGAATATACGTCAATTGCAAAAGCGCCGCGATCTGCCTCCACAACACAGCCGCGCTCTTTGTAATGCTAGGTAGTGCGCTGTCCGATTATCTTAGATTTTCAATTCTTAATTTCATGTGACGAAAAACGCCTGCACCGACATATGCTTTTAATGTGATAACTGTGATGAAATAATCAGTAAACTGTATCCGTAAAAGAAAGAGCAATAAATAACGCGGTATGATATCAAGTTTCGGCGCAGCAGAACGAGGACATGGGACATGAGCTAACTCACTGCTTATAAGCAATTAAGCATCATGTTGCTTATAAGCAACATGATGCACCATGTTAGCGACTCTTTTGTCGCGATACTAGGTATCGGGAAACAGGTGCCCCGAGTGAACGCAACCGAAAAAGTGACGCGCCTCCGAAAACGGTAGCGCGCGCTCCTTGCTTCTGGAGCGAGATTGTGTTAAGGGCACAGGGTAAGTCCTATACTCCCCATGCATTTGAGGCCATGTTGAGGAACATTTTTCTCGGTGACTATTAGGAGTATTCCTGTCATGTAAATATCAATTTGTTCGAAATATTGTGTTTTATCCACTGAACTAGAATTATTTGAACCAATCTAAAATAAGTTTTTTTTAAATATTTTTTTATTCTAGTACTGAAATTTTAGTTGTTTTCATCTATTAAAAACTTCGTAACTCAAAAACTGCTAGGTGCACGTTTTTAATTTTAGTTCAGTATTTTTGAACACCCATGTATGTGGTAGGAATAAAAAATCAACCCTCTATAATGTCAGGTTAAGGAAAAAATGGTACCTATGTACTAAAAAACACTGTTTTGAGATAATTGAGTTTAAAGTAAAAAAACTGGTGAATAACGAATTTCTATTGGCACCAACAGCCTCAGAGTCATTTTTTCAATAGCCGCCAGCTTAAAAGGCATTGCTAAAGTCATGTCTTCGCCTTTAGGCTTATCGCCTTGCTTGCCGGGCCTCTTTTGTGACCCGCCATGTCGCTTGGTCCGTAAAGTATATTCGAGTGACGTCAACTTCCCTCAGCCACTTGATGGCTTTCCAAACAGGGTTCCATCCACAAAACTCCAAAACATTGGCTTGTGCAATGCTGCCACCATTGAATAAATCAACAGCATTCAATGGCGCCATTTTGTCGTTACGAAAACACAAAAGCTTGAATGTACACACGGTACACACCTGGGAAAAACGTGCACAGCGTCTCGTCATTGTCTTGGTTGAAAAGAAGCTATGCAATAGTTGCAAAATAATTTTTTGAGATTATCTGTTACTGGACAAGCTTTTAGGTCTTGTGTTGATTTTGTTTTGTTGGAGAATTCATCGATAAACAGGGAGTGTATCCCAAAAGGAGGCGCGGTCACCTGCTACTTGCTTTCGGAAGAAGTGATTTTCAGCCCGAAATATCGCTTTCTAAAAACACTGGGACAATGGAAAATGTGCAGAAAGAACTAAACTTTTCAAATTGCGAAAAAAACTAAAATCGAATTTTTTTTCAATTTCACCTTACCCTGTGCCCTTAAAACCTCACCGAGGCCTGTCAATAACCCGAAAGATAAATGCGGACGCTGCCAATGGCCGCTTGATATCGCTAGGATGCCTGAACTTCGACGCGGAGCGAGAATTTGCAGGAACCTGGTTTTTGGCCGATCTTGTATCCGAGCCAAGGTGGCCAAAGCCAAAAAGACAAAAACAAACATGGCGGCGAGAGACAGGCGGAGAAGCAGTGCGTACGGGCGATACGGGCAGTACGGGTTGGTGGAGCGCTGCAGGTTCCTCCAGCCAAGATGAGTGCAAGCACTGCATATAAACACGATGACTGTATGATCTTTAATGTCCGAAATACTTCAAGATCGCCCGCCTGTTCTTCGACGTTCGTGGTCTTTTCCCGGTTTGGCAGGCCTACAGTACACCGAGTGAGCCGGATCCGACGAAGTTTATCGAGCGGTATCAATAAAGCAGACTCGTCTCTTCACACTGCGCGTACTTATCGTTTTGATGCGAAACGCTCGATATGACCGGTACAGATGACAAGGTTTGGCGAAATTCTCGTGAGTCCAGACGTCACAGGTTTCGCGCGTCAAACTCTTCCCTGTGAACAGGCAGATTTCGCGAAATCTCGGTTTCGTTAAACCGTTCCCATAGAAAATAGAAACACTGCGCTTGTGCTTTTTTCTTTTTTCAAAAGGCGCAGCATGTTTGCGCTTGCGCCATTTTGTAGCTTCTGTAGCCTGCGCTATAGAACCACTAAATGCCCTACGCTTCAAAGTGACGACACACTTGAACCGTACGTGTGCGAATCATTGTTGCCAGCTGTCTGGAACTCTTATCTGAAATCGCGGGAAACTCTTCCCCATTCTCCAGAAATGTTAAAACAGTCCCCGGCAGAGCTGCCTAGCACCTTAAGTCGCATTTCCGAAACGGGACGATCGCCTATTGCACCCGCTCTGCATTGAGCACCAAAATGGCGCGCCCACAAGATAATCGGAGAAGAGGGTACCGCTACAGTGCCGCTATACAGTGCTGCTAGTCTAAGCGCTGCTTAGTTAGTGGCTCTATCCAGGAAGCACCACCGCAATAAGCGCGACGTCAGAATCATGAGATGGTGTCTAGCACATCCTTGGCATGGCTAACGTCCATTTTTCTTTAAGAGGGCCAAACTTGCGTCAAAGGGGCCCCGAAAGCGACGTCGTACCGAGGACGACGAGCTTGATGCTGCGCCTGTCGGAGCCGAAGCCGTTCTTGGCGAGGCAGCTGAAGAGGCCGTTCTCGGACCGCTCGGCGCCCTGGACGTGCAGCTCCGACGCGGTGCCGCGATCGGTCACACTCTCGAACACCTGCAACCTGGGGAACAACGACACAGATCATGCGATATATGACACATGGTTAACAAGAAACATGCCCCAATTAAACAAAAAAAAGAAAAAAGGAAGTGGTTGAGAAAATTAATTGCGATACGTGCGGTGTCGCTTTTCAGTTCCATGCTAATTAATTCACCGATTGGCGTGGGCAGCCTGGCCGTAAAATCACCCAAATAGGCTCGGAGCTATATATGAGGCTATTTGGCGGCAGTACTAAATAAAAATGCCTTCTCAAAGTATAACGACACGGGCGCGCACTTCACTGCACAGGCCGCGGTGTTATTAATAAATCTACGCAAGTCAGTAGATCAATTTATTTTGAAAGCAAATATGTATTTGGGCCGCAGAACTACGTGCCAGCTTTTTGTTAGTGGGTGGGGTTGCCGACACAAAAAGTCCTAGCACTTTATATTAGCGAAGATGACGAAGTGCAGCACTCCAAAGAGGAGCAATGCCAATCAATCAATCACTCAATCGATCAATCAATCAATCAGTTTACAAAACAATTATGTAGACAATGTTTCATTAGAGCGCCAAAGAACACTGCTGCCTTGCTACTGGACCACTAGGTTAAAGAGATTACATACATCAGAGATAACAGAAACCCACTGTCTGACGCACAATAGACAGTTTGGCGGCACACACGCACACAAGTCACTTTCTATATATTATCCTTGGCGGTTGAAAGCAAAGGAAGAAAGTACTCAGCAGGCGCACCTCGAGCAAAAGAAACAATAGTAAAACACAGACATTACAAAAGTGAGTGTAGTCGGAGGAAATGAGTGTAACATCAATCCTCCTTCTTGTTTACCGTTGTCTGCTTCGTCCCCGAAAATCCCGAAAGATCGCCCACCTCACATTTCTCCTTTCGTCTCTCCACCGTGGACGGGCGTTCTTTAGGGATTTTCGTGGAAGCAGGATATAAAGGGAACAAATTTGTCAAGGCCCCACCTGGGGGAGTCGAGCGGCAGTGGATCGTCATTCCGGTGCCACGTGACCCCCATGGGACTGTCGCCGACCGCCTCACAGCGCAGGATCGCCGTGTCCCCGCGGCGCACGCTCTCCACGCTGAACTTCTGCTCGAACCGAGCGGGCACTGCGAGGACGACGCACAGCGGCAGGTTGCACATACAGCGTCGCGAACGCATAACACGATGCACGTTCATACACCATTAAAGATCCAACCCGACGGTCATAGTCAGAACGTACAAGTTAATACGCAGTTAAATAGGTCGGTGTTTCTCGAAGAAATCGTAAAAAGGGAGCGAGCGGGACAATTAAAGCCCTAGTTAACATATCTGGTGTGCAATAAAACCAAATGTCAAGTAATAAAAAGGAGAGAGAAAGCGTCGCTAGCGTATAACAGTGCCCGTGTGAGAAATATCTTGATGACAATTAATGAAAGACAGAAAGATTAGTCCTAGCGGCAGACACGTGACCCTAAAGCTTGCGCTACATTACGCGTGAAGAGGAGGGGAAAGAACGGAAGATTTGAGTGCAACGCGCTCCGTTATGTCCACCGTTTTGAGCACTATCGACGTTTTGTCGTATTTGTCCCAGTGGAAACGAAAGGAGAACAGGTTTTGCATTCAAAACTGACACGTTCGCGCTTCGCGACATACTTTCGCATTATACTTGATTCGCGGTTTTCTTTCTTTCTTTCTTTCCGGGCTTTGAGCCTTCAAAAACCAATTCGGACATGTAGGACGGTGCGTGGTGCGTTCTTCCCCAGGGGTAGGCGCAGGGATGAAACTCTTGACTTACGAACCAAACTGCATCTGACGTGAGCAAACATATCCATATATGCATCCTCCCCCTTTTTTCCCCTTTCTCTTGCGAACAGCGTCTTTGAGCGGGGAGAGTTGAGCATAGTGTGGTCCTGAAATAGCGCCCGTGGTCCGAACGAGCGGCGTCTGCAGCTCGCAACGCATCGATCGGCGGTGCACCCTATTTCCCCCGACCTTTCGTTCGCCGCCGACTCGCGGAATTCCAGCACACCTCTCGTTCAAGTTTGTTTCCTCAGGTGTCACACGTAGTCGACCCCGAAATTCCGTCGTCATGCCTCGTGACAACGAGTGCAGCTGCGAAGTCGCACAACGACGCCCTGGGCCGAGAAACCGAAAGAGAGGAGACGAGAGAGCGCGGGGGACGTCAGAACGCCGAGCTCTGGTTGGTACGATTAGTGGGTAGACCTAAAGCTAGCAGCCTTTTTGTCTCCACTGCCATAGCCTCCTCTATACTCACAAAGTCTGGCCGTTCGACGACGGAGCCACTGAGTGCTGGGTAGCGGAGTTGGAGCGCGAGGATCTGGTAGCGCAGAGCATTTCTCGGGGAGCCTGTAGTCAGCGCACAGCTTTTGCAGCGGCGAGGACCCGAAACGCACTTGTTCGCTCGGGAGGAGTGTGTTTCGGTGTCTCGCCGCAGCGGGGCGCCAGCCACGTGGCTCTCCTCTCATCTGTTGTCTGCCGCTCCACCTTTTCCATTTCGGCGGCCGCTTCTCGCGGCGATCTGCCAGGCTTTGTCAGTATGTAGGAGGCTACGCCACTGCACGATCGTCGAACGGGTTAGAACGCGGAACGCCGGCGTCCGGCTAGGTCTAGGTCTACCCACTAATTATTCCAATCAGAGCTTGGCGTTTCGGCTTCCTTGCACGGTCTCCTCTCCTCCTCTCTCCCTCCCTCCCTCCCTCCCCTACCCCCCTTTCAGTGTTCGTCGCATAGTCACGCAGCAGCTCATTATTACTCCTCCGCCATTGAGATTACGACATTTGGCGATAAGGACAATCAAAGAAGCCACGCCCCGCGTATCTTAATTAGGCTCTCACTGACTGTAGTTTTGCCGGCCTGAGGCTTTTTGAAACATCGGACGTATCGCAATCTGCTCACCTATTACGTTAAGGTAATGCAATGGCATACCCTCCGGAGGCGCCGATGAAAACATCGTTAACGTATAATCATGATTGTAAACCTTTTTTTTTTTTTCCCGAAAGCGATGTTTATGATTTTTGCTTGGTTTTCCACTCTGCATAAACAGTTGGGATGTGAGATTAGAAGAACTAAGCAGGAGGAGACCTCTTCGAAGTGACTGTGAAGGCCCGTTCACACTCTTGCGACCGAGTACGACTGAGAGAGACGAGATCTCTTACAACTTCTTAAATGTTTCTAGAATGAGGGAAGACACTGACATTGTGGCGCCATCTATGCGGTGACCCTAGAACTGCATTTCACAAAAGCGAAGGTTTTGCGGGATTTCCGAGGTCAAATGTGCGTAATACCCATAGAAAGGCTCGTTTATAACATTGACAAAAGTTTTTCGAGCCAAAAAAGAAAGGATATTGCGCGAGAAATAAAAAAAAAAAAAATATGCCGGACCGCCGAGTTTGCACTGCTTCCCAATAGATGGCGCCAGTGTGTTCTCTGGTTTAAGAAGTTTTAAGGGACCCAGGTTTAAGAGGTCGCAAGCAGTCGCAAGAGTGTGAACGGGCCTTGACGCGTTGAGAGTTGAGGGGAAGCTCCGCTCCCTAGCTCTTTGCACTTCGACAGAGCGAATCGCTGGAGAGGAGGTCGCCTCCTCTCCGGCGTTCGTTCTGCTGTGAGAGGGGCTTGCTCACGCATCGTATGAAAAGACGACGCGGAGTTTCTCCGCAGACATGATGGCAGACTTATCCGCGGAGACGCCTCAAGTATGTTCGAAGCTCGTCTGCTTCATACACATGTAGGCTTCGAATATGTCTGCATGCGTTTGTACGACCAATCTGCGAAGACCGTCATATACACAGAAGTAACACGACTCGGACACTGTTTATTTGATGTATTAGACAGGATCAACAGTTGGTCCTGGTTTTAGCAATATAACCGCGGCTGCTAGTTTGCTTTTGACGTTGTTGTTTTGTTTATTTGTTCGTCTTTTTTTTTTTTAAAATGTGGCGCACGACGTCTCAAAGGGCGGCCGGCGACGCTTCCTCGGTCGGCGACTGAGCGGCCCTGATTGGGAGTTTCCTGCCCGCTGAATAATCGGGAAATCAAGGGCTCACCCGGGGGGCCACGCGGCCCGGGGGTTCAACGCCACAAAACAGGAAGCGACGAATGACAGAATACGCGAAGGGAGGCGCTTCGGCGTTTCGGCACTCACGCGGATTTTTTTCCGAGATTTCAAGCTGCCAGCGGTTTATTCCCTCGCTTAAATTGACGCGCACGGTTGAGGTGTTCGCGAAAACGTTGCTTTTAAAAAAATTACGCTTCTTTGCGGTAGATCTAAAAATACCAAAAAGTTGTGTGCGAAAAAAAAAAGAAGAAAGAAAGAAAATAATTAAGCTGGAACTGTTATAATACTCACTTCCAAGAGACTGTGTAGAATTGATAGACTTGTAATTGTTATGGTGTCTTTTGCGCGCGCCAGTTTGCAGTATTTTCAGACCGACCGTAAGAGGGCGTGAATTTTTGAAGGGGTCTATATCAGTCTCTGGCACGGTCGTTCAATTTTCGTGGTTTCTGCTAGCGGTCGAGCGGTCATGCGTCGGAATAAGGATGGCAGATAACGTATTTAACTGAAGGGAAAGGAAGCAATAGGTTCGATGGTCAATTGTTTGTATGTATATATATATTTTTTAATTTACTGAGGAACTAGACGCCTGCCTCGCCTTGCTAAAATACAGAATCGGTATCTGAAAGAAAAGTCGTACTAAAACACAATAGCTGAGATACCTGGAGGAGAAAGACACAAGGTGGCACGTTAGTTCTACTCAAAATTTGCTCTGGTCAAGGCACAAAATAGTACCATAAAAAAAAAAAAAAAACGCGTAGAAAAAATTAAAAAAAATTAAGATCACAATGTCATTGAGAGTGACAGTATGTATATAGTGGACATGCACACAGATACAGACACATTATACCACCACAAACACACACATACGCTCATACACACACACACACATACACACGCTCACTATCCACCACCTCCCCTTCTCCCCTCAAGGAACGTTTTAAAAGCAAAACGTTGTGTCGGAGTGTAGCAATCGGGACGTCGAACCTGTAACGACATAAAAAAGAAAAAAGAAGAAGAAACAAGCGATAGGATGGTTAGAAACAGACAGATATGGAACAGCAACAACACCGCGAGACGCTCGAGAAAGGATCAAGAAGGGGCACAGAATAAAGCCGAGCAAAAAACAACGAGGAGACTGAAGCAAGAGCAGCCCATCGCTACGAAGAGTTTGTAGCGGGTAAAGTAGCTCGGGTCATGGGGCATTAAAAGCCGGCCTTGAGACGTCTCCGCTCTCCAAAAACAAACAAACAAGAACCGGATAGCGGGAAGGGCATTATGTAGAGCGTGCGCAGGAAGCTGATGCGAAGGAGTGCGCTTGACTGCAGGGAGAGGAAAAAAATACGTCGGATTCCATCGCCCTAAGATAGTTACAGGTATATTGCTTTTCTGATAAGTTTGGTCTGGGATGGTTATTATCGCTTATGTAGCAAGGCATTCGTTTGGCTTTGAAGTAAAAAGAAATGGTTTGAACAGACGACAAACAAAATGCAAAGGAAGGAAAAGAAAGAAAGAAAGCAAATGGAGGAGAGAAAAAAAAAGAATCGTGGACTTATAACGGGCATTCGATGTTGCTTGGAAGACCTAAAAGCAGACGGTGTACGATAAATAAATAAATAAATAAATAAATAAGTAAATAAAAGAGAAAGAGAGAGAGAGAGAGAGAGAGAGATGGAAAGTTCACGTCTATAAAAGTGGTCTAAAGCCGAGAACACTATGGCATTTTTACCTTTTTCTTTTTTTCCCCGGCTGCACTTGCTGCGATTACTTGGTTTCGTGGCGAATTTTTAGCGTCGATAAAAAGAGCGCACGAACCGAAACTCTTTGTTCCGCTGAGTGGTTTTAATTTTACTTTCCCGCGTTTTTCGACAGCTCGGAGAATCGGCACGGGAGGTGGGTAAAATCGATAAACCTATTCTCGTGCAAGACGCTTCGTCCAATTTTATTCCCATTTTTTTCCCCCTTGTGTTTCTGATTTGGCTGTGAGAAAGTAGTCGCCTTCTTTGCGTTCGATGAAAATCGAAGATGTCTAGCCGGTACAGCAACTCGTTTCTT